CTTAAAAGCCTAAATATGCAGGATGTGTGTGTTAAACATGTGTGAATGAAACAAAACACAACTCCAGACATGTTTTTGATGAGGAAACAACATCATAGATCAGAAAATAACGTAATATGGGCCCTTCAAGAAACTTTTTTATTTATATGTATTTGTATCTATTTATTGAAGGGACAATGAATATTAAAAGACAAGATAATGCAAGAGACTAGGAATGTAATGATATTTATTGTGATATTTTGTGGAGGTGTGGATTGTGAATATGCTACTTTTTCCTCTTAAAATGCCTTGACAAGGCTTAATCCAAAGAACTAAGATTTAAAAGTGCTTAGAACTGTTATTTCTTCATGTAGTTTGCAGGAAAATGGGGCAAAGGATCATGGTCGATGTAGTTCCCTCTGTTTTTTTAGCTATTGCTGCACCATAACAATGAATTTAAGCAAAGAAACTTGTGACTCGATATATTGTGATGACCCAAGATATTATTGAGAGACTTTTGACAATACAATATCATGATATTTTGGTTATTGTTACACCCCTACAAAAGACTGTAATGTACTTTTAAATATGCAGGACTGTAGAAAAAGCTAATTTCCATCCTTAGACCCCTCCTGGACCAAGGTCAGCCACATCACCCGCACAAAACATGATAAAAGCCGACAATACCCCCGCCCACATGTATCTCTCACTCATACACTACAAAACAAAAGTTCAAATTAATTCATAATGGTATTCAGACAGATTCATACAGTAGTACACATATTTTCTTTTTTGGTAATGTTTTGCGATATAGTCGTCACCATAGATTTCATTTGATGGCACTCAAATTAACTCAAAAACTCACTAATTATCATTAACTATAGATTCTCTTCCTCAAATCAATCATCCTAAAATACTATATACTTATTCTAAACTTTTGCCCCGTTAAAGTCTTGTATTCGCTGTATTTCCCAGAGTTCAGTGGGAGTGAGGGAGGGCTGTTCTAATCTGTCTCACCACACTTCCTCAGAAGAATGACCTTTTCTGTCTCAAAGCACCCTGTGGTACATTAACTGCGATTGTACAACTGCTCTTGCTACAACAGACTACTACGACTACTTCTACTACTACTACTACTACTGCTACGAGTCAGACTTGAGTCACTATTTTTAGGACTTGAGACTTGACTTGATAAAATGGACTAAGACTTGGGACTCGACTTGGGACTTGACTCTGACTTGAGGTGTGTGACTTGAGAAGACCTGAAAAGCACTTTTAAATCTGAATTCTTTCTATTCTGACTGTAATGATTCACACTAAGATCTTGTCAAGACATTTAGAAAAGAAAAATTTACATTTCTACAACTCTCATATAAATACTCATATATAAATAGACTATAAATTTTTTTTAAGTACATTTTAGTTTAAAAATCATATAAATTGCAAAAATCTAAGCTATATTTGGTATTTTGGTTTAAAGACTTGAAATGACTTGAAGCTCAAAGCAGATGACTTTGGACTTGACTTGGATTTGACTTGGACTTATGGGCCAGTGACTCGATTTGGACTTGCCTATATTTGACTTGGGTCTTGACTCGGACTTGAGGTCAAAGACTTGATATTTACTTGAGACTTGCAAAACAACTACTTGGTCCCATCTCTGACTACTACTACTACTACTACTACTACTACTACTACTACTACTACTACTACTACTACTACTACTACTACTACTACTACTACTTATACTATTACCAGTGTTGGGAAGTAACTAAATATGTAATCTGAATACTAATTTAAGTAACTGTATTCCAGTATAGTTATTCATTTGGTGGCATTCCAAATACTTTTACTTTTCTAAAATCAAAGTTATACATTATGGTATTTGCTCATGTATATTAAGATTCATCCTGCATGTTTACTTGTGAGAAATATAGACGACACTGCTCTTGTGGTGAGACATGTGTGGTTTTTACTTTCTCCAGTTAGTGATGGTTAAGACAGTTACATACAGAGAAACAAATGTAAAGCTGTTTCTAATCCTATGTTGCGTCTTTACACTGTAATTTAAATGTGACTCGATGTAAAGGTATTCTAAGTATTCAGAATGCAGTACTCTGATTGGACCATGTATTCAGGTATTCAGTATTCTGTAACTACAAACGTTTTCAAAGTGTTCTTCCCATCACTGCTGTTTCACCTGCTTGTTGCTTTACCCTTAGTCTACTGCAGTGCTACAACGATAACTGCAAACTAGGGATGTAACCCAAATATTGTGATACTGTATTGTCAAAAGTCTCACAATAACACTGTGGGGCGTCACAATATATCAAATTACAAATTTCTTTGCTTAAATGCATTTTTTTATTGTAGCAACAGCTAATAAACATCGGGAACTACATATTCCATGATTCATTTCAGTGTACCCAACAAGAAGAAATATGTTTTTTACTTGAATTCTTGGGATTATGACAGTAATAATTCACACTTTACATTCACTTTACTGCAAACTGATGTAATACCAAAACAGTATAGGCAGGAGCTAGAAGAGACACAATTCCCACAACACAAAAAGACTCATTTATAATATAATAAATAGTGTATTACAGTTGACCATTTTGGCCTCAATTTGATTTAATATTTTTGCTCTCTAGTAGGGATATAACAATATCCAAATCTCTCTGTACGATATTATCACGATATGCATCTCACGGTACGATATTTATTATGATATTTTGGAGAAGCTGATATAATTGTAGATGGGAATCTATTTTGCTTCCTTGATTTTGGCGTGAATTTTTTCCATTATAATCCCAAGAATTCAAGTAAAAAACATATTTCTTCATGTTGTCTGAAATGAATCACGGGATATGTATTTCTCTCTGTTTATAAGCTGTCGCTATTGTAAAAACCATGTATTTAAGAAAAAGAAAGTAGTAATTTGATATATTGTGACAGCACACAATATTATTGTGAGACTTTTGACGATACGATATCACGATATTTCGGTTATTGTTACATCCCTACTCTCTATATCACTGAATTTTGTATTTACACCTCCTCAAATTGTACTTCCCCAGCACTTTAATGTCCAATATAAATGTAAACTTCTGAAAAAATCTTAAAAAAATATATATATATATATTTCTTGTTGCGTAAAATCTTGTCTTATCTCTAGTTGTAACCAGGGAAATGTCTGACTGATTTTTAGATAAAACCATAGACTGTAAATATTCTTTATAAAGTGTACGGATAGAACAAATAAAAATGACTCTAATGTCAATATAAAATTTACTCATCTAACTACTGAGCTCTGCCTGGGACTAAAGCACAACCAGGACACATATCAGATATTGGAAAAGATTGTTACGTACTGTGATGATGACGATAATACTGCAATATATATTCAAAAAAATTTGCTCTGTCATAGTCTGACCAGAAAATCTTGCAATGTTTGAACTTGTAGTTAAACAAAGTTCTTCTGTAGCTCCCTGAGAGTTATATAATAGCTACATGACACAGTTGGATCAGTTTTGTCTTATTTTATTTTAGTTTTAAGGTATCTGCAGATCCTTAAAGTTATAGTATCGAGATCAGTATCGAAACTGAACAAGCTCGATGCATATCTATTTTTTTCGACTTTTTGACACAATAATTTCTGTAATACTGAAACTAAACTGTGCATCTATCAGTTCACTAAAAACTAAACCAAAACAAACCCTAAATTAAATGAAAGCTACAGTAGAAATTTAGGACTTAACATTACTTTTCTGTCAGCCGTTGAGCCTTGAAATTATTGCAATGTATTTAGTGTGTTGCAACATCAATCATTTTGGCATTATATTGTGCAGTCTTAATGATTTGAGCGTTTCATGGGAAAGCCTGCTCCTGTGCACAATGAATGAATGAATGAATGCAGAGTCAGTTCTTCTGGGCTGTGGTTAATTAGTGCTGAAGAGTTCCACAGTGATAAGAGCAATAAACCTGATAACTCCCGCAGATCCAAACTGGACTGAAGATAAGACCTACTGTGGGCCTGAGGTGGGTCTGTAAACACAGGCAGGGACCAGGATGACCACTCTGCCGCTTTTATTCAACTATTAACTTGAATTTGTAGTTACATGTTTACAGTAGTACAGATCTACCCATTCATCACAAGTGAAAAAGAGCAAATGAAAGTACAGGAAGAGTGGACCCCACATTGGGAAACCTTGGCATGTGCTGAAAGAGTCTCTCATCCAAGCTCCATACTGGATGAAGTTACAGTATATGGGCAGCTACATGAGTGCTTTTCAGCTGAGAAGAAATCAGAAATAAGCATAGTACATAAAATAGTACCTTTAGACACCAGGTCTAAGGTAAGTCCATAAAGATCTAGTGTAGCTCTTGTTTACAGTGAAAAGTGTGTTTGCAGTGACAGACAGTAGGGATCTGCGAGAATACAGGAATTGACTGGGAAGCACAAAGGCGCACAGTGCAGGTAGACTACAGCAGCCGACAGAACAGGACTAAACTTCAAAACAGGCCAAACAAGACAAAAAACTACTTTAACCGGGTCCAGCTCTGATCTTACCCCAAAGTACTGATGAAGCCATTGACAGAGCCCTCCGCGAACAGAGACACGATGTCTCCAATGTGGAGGAAGCTGGAGGCGGACTCGGACATCCTGCGGGCCGGGGCAGGTGGTCCTCAGGTGGGCTCAGCTCCGAAACATTCCGCTGCAAGCTCCGGACTCAGAAACACGCGAACCAGTGGCCCGTGACGCGCGGGTTGTAGTCCTTCAGTGTGAGTTGTAGTCCCTGAAAAGTGCGCTCTGAGCTCCTGCTCAGTGTCCGAACGTGCGCCAAAGTCTGTGCGTCCTGTCCGGAGGCTCGCGCGGGTCAGGACTGACTGTGCGCGCTCCCGTGCAGAGGTAGGGGCGTGTGCACGTGCGGACACGCGCTCGCGTGGAGCGAGTTTAAAATGAACAAACTTCAGAAAAAAGCCGGAAGTGGAACAAGTGCGAGAAAAGGCGGATTCACACACGCCTCAAGTAACAACACGAGGAGGAAGTTCAATCGTTCTGCTTAGTTACACCCGGGCGAGTCCTGGTTGGGACCTGGTTTAGTCGTGGTGAAGGATCTAATCCATATTTGCCCCTGTTCCTGGTTTAGCCCACAGTGTAGACTTGATTTAATCTTTTTTAGACCTGTTTTCCTTGTTCCCGGTTTCGCCTAAAATAGTCGAGGTCAGTATGATACGGTCAGTGTGCAGTGATGATGATGAGTGATACAGACATTTTTATCTCGATAAGAAAACCACCCCACACCCCTTCCTCCGAGAGCTGCAGCTCACAGCTGACTTTTGTATCTATTAGATTTAGAACATAATGAGGATTAGAAATGATTACAGGAGCAGACGGCACAGGCGCCATGCAGAAGAAACATTACAAACATTATTTTCATTATTGTAAATAAGTGAATATAACATTTTATAGGGTTTCTTCTTGTTATTTTGACTCTCAGTTTATTACAGTTACAAGTGAAAGGAATCTGTACATCTTATAGGCAAAAATGTGTTGAGTTGTATTTATATTTATGTCTATAATTACTTTGCAGTTGAAGCTATAGTAATTATAGAGTAATTTATGGTAGTAGTGGTGTATTAGCAGCAGGCCGAGTCACTTCAGCTGCTGTGGAGTATCTCAGTGTGCTGTTTTCCATGTGTTTCCAGTCTGTTTCTTTGTTTCAGTTTCTTTATGCGTGCTCTGCTGTTCTTGGTTGATCTTGTGTCTAAATAAACTGGCTGCTGGGGTTTTGTGCAGGGCTGGACTCAGATCAGAACCAGTTTGGAGATCAGGAACCGGAAGAACTCACTGCACCAGAAAATCCTCCTTCCATTCTCCGGGTAACAGCTACTAGACCGTGTACTACTACTACTCCAACTACTACAGGTTATCTGAGCTGTCAATCACTGCACAAGTGAGAGTCAAGCTAATACTACAACTACCTCCAGGTACTACTACAACTGTCACTTAACGTTGCATCAGTGATGGAAGAAGTACTTGGTTTTGTTACTTAAGTAAAAGTACAGATACCAGGGCAAAAAAAAAAAAAAAGAAAAATACTTAAGTAAAACAAAAAGTGTCACATTAAAAATCTACTTAGGTAAAAATATTAAAGCACTTGTTTAAAAATGAAGTATTTCACAGAGATTTGTTGTGATTTCATACAAATTTGTGCAGATGTCGAACTATAATAAAAAATTCTACTGAAGTTAAGTACAGATACTTAAAATTTTTACTTAAATACAGTACTTTGTTACTTTTAGTTCATTACTTTCCACTACTGCGTTGCAAATAGTAGTCACAAAATGCATTCTAAAAGTTTTATTATGTTTATATATCCAAACCTGCAAATAAAATACTATTCGTAATATTAGTAGCAGTAATAATAATAAAATAAAAATATAAATCTACATTCAGGACCCAAAAAATGTTCCACTGGTTTCTGGTCCAAGTCTTTTACTCCTTCCTTCCTCCATATATTTCCCTCTCTCTTTGTGCTTTGGCATGATTGGTCGATTCCTCTGTGTCGTCACGGTAACCGGTCAGCTGTTCACTCCTGTTGTCATAGAAACCAAACAAAAACAACAAAACCGCACATCAATTAAGACGACAGAACCAAAGAGGGAGCGCTTTTTCACAGTTTCCCTCTGTAGTGGATACAACTAAAGGTTACAGTACTACTACACGCGGGCTCTTAAAGGTGCTCGGTGTGAGTTTTGGCGGCCTCTGGTGGTGACTTTTAGATCACTTTTGCCAATCTGAAGTTCCTTTTACCATAGTGAAATAATTGATCTGTGTCCTTTTGTCTGTATCAACTAAAAATATATGACAACAATTCATTTATTAATTTGATTTTAGATTCATCAAATATAACATCATTTAATCACAATACTCCAATGTTCTCCATCCTTACACTAACATTACTTAAAAGTAGGGATGTAACGATGTCCAAATCTCTTGGTATGATATTATCACGATATGCATCTCACGGTACGATATTTATTGCGATATTTTGGATTGGCAAATATAATTGTAAATAGGACACTTTTTTGCTTTTAAAATACCTGGACAAGATTTTGGTGTGAATTATTACTGTCAGAAAAGTAAAAAACATATTTTTTCATGTTGTCTGTGCTGAAGTGAATCGTGGGATATGTAGTTCCTTATGTTTATAAGCTGTTGCATCTATAAAACCATGCATTTAGAAACTTGTAATTCGATATATTGAAACAGTCTATGATATTATTATGAGACATTTGACGATACGATATCACAATATTTTGGTTATTGTTACATCCCTACTTAGAAGCTTAAAAATTATTTATATGTTACACGCTCAAGTTGTATTCTGGTCTGGTTATGGACAGATACTGGCGGAGGAGGACTTGGACTCAAGTATGACTCAAAATAATGTGATATTGTATCGTTAAATCTCTAACCATGATATTGGAGTCTGTCACAATAAATTGGATTACATGCTCCCTCGCTTAAAGTCATTTTTTTGTTGACAACTAAAAAACAGGGAACTATCATGATCCTTTTCATTGCAGACAACACAAAGATATTACAGTTATGAAACACTTTTAAAATAAATATTAATTCTTAGGATTATGAGTAATGATTTGCACTAGTCTTTTCAAGAAATTTAAAAAGGAAACCCTTTAAAAGTAGTGCAATTTAGTAAAAAATATATATATTTGAAATGGAAAAATACAAGCTGTATTCTTAGTTTTTTTAAAGTCTTGAAATGACTTGAATCTCAAAACAGCGGACTTGGACTTGACTTGGACCTGTGGGCACTGACTCGTGGTCTTGCCTGTCTTTGACTTGAGAGTTGACTCGGACTCTACCCAAAGACTTGAGACTTACTTTGGACTTACAAAGGAACAACTTGATCCCACCTCTGGATGTTGGTCTCTCCACTCTAAGGCTGTGCAATTAATCAAATTTTGATTCGCAATTTTGATTTGCATGTCAAACGATCTCCAAACTCATATAATCGATTTGAAACGATAATGCGTAACAAAGTTTATTTTGGTTTATTTATACAAATAAGCATATTTATTTTATTTTTAAAATATGGAGATTGTAGAACAGCTGGATATATGGTTTGTTTTGGATACATTTATGTTCTTCTGCCTTATTTCATGTTCAAAGTATATTTTATTTATTTTATATCTTATACATTGCAAAACTGCTCTAAGGTTCATATTTGTAGCCTATATTTATTTTCAATTTGAAAGTTTTGCGTAAATTTACATAAACAAAGTGTTTAGGTTTTTTTTGAGAGGGAGAAATGCTGAATAAATGCATCCTGTAACTAAAATAATCATCATTTTAAAAATCATGATTTCAATATTGACCAAAAAAAATCGTGATAATATTTTTTTCCATAATCGAGCAGCCCTACTCCACTCCACTATGCCGACTCTCCACAGATCTCCACCTTTACGTTTTGTCTCTTTTGATCCGAATCCTTGTTCCTTCCTGGTGCAGTTCGTTGTAGCCTTACATATTGTCGTGGCCATATATAGACTAGTGCGTTTTAATATATGCATGTGTTTTTCTTGTACATGACTGGTGGATTATGGAGCTCATAGTTCAGACGCAGACAGCTGTAAAAACACTAGGCAAAACTAAAAATATCTGTAATAGACAGGAGCTGGAAAACCCTTCATCATCCGGACAGCTGAGATGTTTTGAGGTTAAGTTGATATGGGCATGTGTCTGTTGTGTAGAAGGATGCAAAGATTATGGAGATTAACAAAACCAGCATCGGTGGCACCAGCTCTGCTTCTCTCCATCTCTCTTCACTGTCTCCCGGGTTTCTGCACTCATCACTTCTTCAGCGTCTCTTGGAGTTTCCGTCCCTTTTATGGACCACCTCAAGCTCAGGTTAAATTTAGTCTGAAAAACCACAAAGCGCTGCCTTTTTCATCACAGACATTTTGAAAATATCAAGTTCAGAGTCAACAGTGACGAGAGGAAGTCTAATTATCTTTGCAGAGCCGAAAATGGAGAAGAGGCACGTTGACACAAAAATGGGAAGTTTGAGGTCTATTCACACTAGAAAATGTATTTACTGAAATATTACAGCTCTGCCTCACATATTTGAAAGTCATGTTATATTATACAGAGCTGACTCTAGTGAGTTTTAAGTCATGTTAGAGCAGATCAGAGCCACATACGGCCGTTTGGTTGACTCTGACTGACCTGTTTAAGCTCATTTGGAATTACAAAATAAACATATTTTATCATTTTACCTCATGCATCAACTAAATCTGCATTGCTTTTATTTTAGAGGTGTTTTTTAATAACTTTTTTTGTAAGACAACCTCACTTTTTCATTGCTTAGTCATAACATAAACTATTACCAGTCTCATCAGCTTATCAAAACAATGATATTTACTGCTTTTTATAAAGAAATAAAATTAATATTACGCAGAGTTGTGTTAAGCATTTTGGGCTGACCCTCCACAATATTTTCTGTTTCTCATGTGGCCCCACAGAAAAAATAATTGTGTTTTGTTTCATTCACACGTTTGAGTTTATTTATTATTCATCTGTCTACAGCTCAAAAGCTCAATAGTGTTATATTCCACCTTGTGATGTCATGTAGTGGTAGTTTTCAAGTTAATAGCTCCCTTTACCTTTACCTCTTGTTAACATGTATGGAGTTTAAAAGTTTAAAAGCACAGTGGAGCACTTCCTGTATTACCACATAACATCACATCACAAGGTGGAAAAGAGTGTTTTCCGCTCGAGAGGATGACTTTGAGAGCCTAAATATGCAGGGTTTGTGCGTTAAACATGTGTGAATGAAACAAAACACAAATCCAGGTATGTTTTTGATCAAGAAACTTTATAACCAATCAGAAAATTGTGTAATATGGGCTCTTTAACACCCATACCCTTACTGTGAATAAACCAGAAGGACTCCATTATGTTTTTAAAATCCTTTCATTACACTCACTGTTACTGAAGTTGTTAAATCACCTTCACTCTGCTCCAAACCAATTTCAATATTATAGCAGACATGTCAAACTCAGGCCCGGGGACCAAATTTGGTCCGCGATATAATTATATTTGGCCGGCGAGATCATATTAAATATGTATTAAAGAATACAAGAGACATTAAAGAGACATTATTTAAAATGTTGTTATTATTATATTATTTTTATGTTTGTTCTGGATTCAGTGTTTAAGCAAAACTATTATTAAATATTTATTTAATAAGAAAAGGTTTAAAATTACATATCTCGAAAGAAGAGAAAACAGGCAGATGTTGTTGAAATTTTTTGATAAATATTTAGTTTGGACCATGACTTTGTGACTCTGTGAATTTGAGTTTGACACCCCTACTATAACATATATTTTTGTTCGCCTCATTATAACAGCTTCAACCTTTAGTGCACCAACAGATGGAGTCCTGGCGACCTCCGTTTGCACTTACACACAAATAAAAGGCCATAGTTCAACTTGTTTTTAAGACATTTCATACATGATTTTAATTCATTAATTTTAATCGAATCGAAAATCGCAGGTTGAATGGACGCAATTAGTAAAAGTAACATAATTTCTGCCAAAAAACAGCAAAATGTCAGGTCTTTTTCTGCATATAAACATTTAAGATCTATACAAGCATGTTCTTAAGTGTGATTATTTATTAGTTTGTTAGATCTTGGCCTATTTGAGTATTTCTGTCTCCTGGACATGTTTAAAAAGTGAACTGTCAACAGAATCCCTTAAAACAATCGCAATGCTTGTCAGGTAAATCATAATTAGATATTTTTTCCCAAATCGTTGAGCCTTACATGATAAACGACATGAACGCCCAAGCCTAAGGTCCTTCTTTAACTATTTCTATTGAATAAGCATAAATCAAGTGAGCGCAGGTCTCTTTGTGTCCAGCAGAGAGCAGCGTTTTCACATAAACACACTCTCCTTTGCTGTTCGTTTATTTATTTGGGGCCAAACCTGAATTGAGACAAAAGATTCCTCCTCCTCCTCTCCCTCCTCACTTCCTTTTCCTATCAATTCTTTCTTAGTTCCTTTTCATTTCCTTTTTTTCCTCATTTTAGACCCCACCCATTTCCTTCTCTGATTCAGTGGACCACTTTTTTGTCTTTTTTTTAGCTCAGTGAGGCCTGCTGCTACTTTTAACTTGTTTCAGAATACAATGCACAAATTATTTAAAGCTTAATCTCTACTTTTATTACTCACATTTGCACTTTAGTCAGTATTTTTATTTGTACATACACATTTATATATATATTTTATATATTTATGCCATATTTGACACCAGTCTTTTGCTGTATTTCTTATTTCAAATTTATTATTACCATTTATATTGTTGCTCTTTGTTATTATATTTATTGTGATGTGTGAGCAACTGTGTCCAAATAATTTCCCTTGTGGATCAGTAAAGTTTGTTTAAGTCTAAGTTTACATGAGTACCATTAATAGTGCGTAGTTGAAGTTGCTCCCATATAGAGAAATACTAATGTAAATATGTGCATGTAAAAGATTTATTAAAATATATATAAGCCTGCTTTAAATATATTTTAAACGTATTTTTCTTTTTTCTTCTGACCAAAAACAAAAGCAGTTTGGGAAGGTCCTGTCCCTCATTAAAGCCTCAATGGTGCTTTTGGAGGGCCCTATGTTCCCACGTGCATGTGTGAGCTCATGTTTGTGTGTGTGTTTGTGTGCGTGTGTGTGCATGTGTGTGTGTGTGTGTGTGTGTGCATGTGTGAGCTCATGTGTGTCTGTGTGTGTGTGTGTGTGTCTTCACAAAGCGTCCATCGAGCCGTGTTGTGAGAGCCCCCAGTTCCCACAGACCCCTCCCCAAACAGAGCTCCAGCACGGACCCCAGTCTGTGGACCACCACTGCCCACAAACCACAGCTCTATCTGGGACACAGGCTGGACGGACACCCCCTTTTCCTCTGGAGCTCCATCACCACCACAGACACAGGTTTAGAGACAACTTGGAAAACCTCAGAATCTGGATAAAATTTCATTATTTGCGCAGGACATTTTGACAGAATTTACGGATTTATTGCAATTTTTTTTGCACTTTTTGCAGCCAGATCTAGATTTTCACTTCTTTGCCTTTTTACCAAACTTAAAGAAAAACTAATTTATTTTTAATGCAAACCGCTTTGTATTGCTGCTGCATTTGTAATCTTTCAGAACACACTTTCGGACACTAAAAAGTGACAGATTTTGGCCATATTTTGAAAATGTTGTAACACTGAATGCTTCAACAAAAATATTTCTCCAGTTTTATTTCATTAAATGCAATAATTTAATTTTTGTAGCATAATGGCTCAGTTTTTTGTATCCTGGCTGTATTTTTCTGCCCTGCTTCTTGTTTATGAAGTGCACAGTGTTTCGGACCAGAGCAGAACCTCCTCTCAGGTGGAACCAGAACAGGTGTGGTTGGGGCAGTTCCCGGAGAACCCTCTTTTGGAGATGTTTGACCTGGATGTAGTGACGCCGCGGCGTCAGGTGCGAGGGGCAGAGGAGGAAGATCAACAATCAGCCTTCGGTCAGTCCCTGGAGAATGACTCTGTGACAGTCTCCGCCTCCAACCTGAGCGTGCTCAATGAGACCACCTCAGAGCCAGGCTTCAGGAACCCGCTGTACCCGCTGAGGGAGGGGTCCGTCCTGGGCTGGGCCATGCTGGTGCTGGGGGGGCTGGTGTTTGTGCTGGGGGTCGGGGGAAACATGGCGGTTATGTGTGTGGTGTGGAATAACTACTACATGAGGTCGGGGTGGAACTGCCTGCTTGCCAGTGTGTGTCTGTGGGACTTCCTGGTTCTGGTCCTGTGTCTCCCGGTAATTTTGCTGAACCAGCTCTCTGACAGGAGGATCCTCCCTGACATCACCTGCCGCATGGTCCCATATATGGAGGTGGGTGGGGCACACACTTTCCCATAAATAAATCTCCTATTTTCTACACCTCAAAACAGACCTAATGAAGCATTTAACTACAGACTTGAGTAAATCCTGTATCTGAGGCTGCCTCTTTCTGAACAGAAGAAAGATCTTGGCATCGTATAAATTTGTCCTTTCTCCAGCACATTTTTGCTGTTCAGTTTTATAAAATACAATATAAAGCATCAATACGTTGGGCCATGTTGCTAAAGGCTGCGCTATTTCAACATTATTTCAAGTTTTCATGTCACACATTGTGAAGGAAAGGCAAACACTTGTATGCTCTCAGTTTGCTCCTGAACAGGATTTACATAGAAAAGAGATTCTGAATCTAAGTGGCACTTGGGACTCCATAAGAAGGCCCTGAGGGGTCAGAGTCTGCTGTGTCCATAGACCTGATTGTGATCTTCTCTGATCCTGTTTTTTGGGAAGGACAAACATAAAACAGTCTCAAATTTAGTGCTGACGTGTGTCAAATTTAAGGGTTCAATCCCACTTTCCCTGTTTGAGAGTGTGAGGATGTGAGATTTGTTTAGTCCAATCAGAGCAGTTGTTCCTTTTGGGGTTTTTGCTTCTTGTGAGTGGCTTCCAGGAACAATCCGGATACAAACTTCTCAGTGTGGCTCTTCTGTGTTCTCTGTTTGTTTCAGGTGGTGTCTCTGGGCCTGTCCTCCTTCACTCTCTGTGTTTTGGGGATTGACCGTTTCCATGCGGCCACCTCCTCGGCAGCGTCTGATTCTTCAGACAGGTCATGTGACGCGGGTCGTGTTGAACGCTGCAGGTCTGTTCTGTTCAAGCTTCTGTTTGTGTGGCTCACAGCTCTGTCGTTAGCATCTCCCGAGCTGTTCCTGTGGGAGTCCGGCCCCCTCACACTCGTCAGTGGGCGATTGGTCGATACCTGCATCATCACCACATCGTCTCCTCTGACGCTGCTCCTCCCAGACTCTCTGCACTCACTGCTGCTCCGCTACCACCAGGTGAGAAACAGAACCAAGAGTGTTTCTCCATGTGCAGCAATTTACAGCAAGGACACGGAGCTGAGACACGTTTGAGAAAAAAAAATCTTTCCCAATGAAACAAATGACAATAAACAGCAACAAAGAGGAGTGTTCAGGAACAGTGGGACGTTTGGGCAAACTAACTTTCAGTCAGACAATCAGTCAGGGACAGGTGAGCTCTAATGGACAGGTGAGCTCAGAGGGACAGGTTAACTCAAAGGGACAGGTGACCTCTGACGGACAGGTGAGATCTGACAGACTGTCTGAGCTCTGAAAGACAGGTGACCTCTGACGGACAGGTGACCTCTGACAGACAGGTGAGCTCTGACAGACAGGTGAGCCCCAACAGACAGGTGAGCTTGGTTATGTCAGTCTTGTCTGTCTCCTCTGTCCCAGGCTCGTTTGTGGTGGTGTTTTGGATGTTACTTCCTGCTGCCGGTGCTCTTCACCATCCTGTGTCAGATGGCGAGTCGTAACGTCACTCCGTCGTCCACTCAGAAGTCGCCTTTACGTCACCACGACGATGCAGCGTCCAATCAGCGCAGGGCTTTGGAGCGGCAGAGGAATGGCGCCCTCTTGTGCGTGTGTGTGGTGTACGCTTTGTGCATTGGGCCTGAATATGTGACCAACATCGCCCTGACAACTGCCCACATCAGTGTCACCCCAGAAATGTCCTCCATGCTCACCCTCTTACATCACTTCCTGTTGTTCCTCAAGGCGGCAGTGTCTCCCCTGCTGCTGCTGTGCCTCTGCAAGGTCTGTGCACTTTATAACGAGTATTACATCATGTGTTAGAAATAATATTCACTAGAGAAAGGAGGTTTGTGTGCTTATACTTCATCAGCCTGCCTCAATACTGTGAGAGAAGATGATGTGGGGATCTAATCTGGTCTGGTCTTGTCTACAGTCTTTGGGCCAGGCGTTTATGGATTGCTGTTGCTGTTGCTGCTCGGAGTGCCAGCCAATCACATCACAGGGAAGCCCCGCCCACATCAAACTCAAGTCCAACGAGACGTCGATCTTCTTTGACAAAGCCAAGGACACGTCGGCCATCTTGTCCATCTCCAGCTGAAGACGCTCTGTCCTGAGCATGGTTCCCTTTAACAGCCATTGGTTTACCTTTTTTCTTTCATAGATTTATTGTTGTTTTGTGACATCACTGTGAATAAGTTGTTGAAGTTTACTGTAAAGTAGCATCCACACTGAGATAAACTAAGCAGAACGAAAGCCTTTTTCCAAAAGAAAATAAAACACAAAAGCACAAAGTTGTCAGAGCAGTGGACCAGATCTGAGCCTGGATCCTCGTCTAAACAGGAGAATCCTGCTCAGCAGAGCTTTCTCAAGATCATGGATTATTGTGAATGTTTTCACTTCTTATTTCCTTCCAGTATTACCAACAATAAGGATGAAATGGAAAAAATAAGATAATGTTGTCTCAACTGTGGATGCTCCGAGTTTGTAATATATGTTTGTGTGTTCTGTTAAAATGATTTTAACTGTAGTTTAACAGCTAATGCTGAACTTGCACAAACGGGAAAACAAAAAAAAAGACATTTCAGAATGTCCTGGAGGTTTATTAGTAAAAAATAACAACATGATTGACAAGGGAAATATTTGGACATTTTAAATGTGATCCAAAAACTGCCATAAACAAAATTTTGACCACTTTTATTTGAATGTAAAAGCAGTAAGTAATACCACTACAAGTCCAACTATGTTGGACACTTAGATACATGTGGAGATTTGTTCTGGTTGGTCTTTCTCATAACCTATTTAATAGGAAAGTCTGTACTAGGAGAGTCTCATTGGGTTGAATCTGGTCACGCATTGGACTTATTGTGGTCTTAGACTTCACTGAAACAGAACCAAGACCAGTCCAGAACTGGATTTAACTTTGACTGGACCAAGACAAACGAGAACTGGACGTTCAATGCAGAGTGGAGGCCTTAGTCGACCATGAGGAAAGTAAAACATGCTGAGATGACAATAATGTAAATGTAATCAGATGAGTTTATAATATTAATGTTGTAGCACTTTAACTGAAGCTAACTGAGCCCAGACTTTGGACTATTAGAGATTTATGTCACAGAATATGGATGTTTCACAATAAAATGGTGACAATATAAAAATGATCCATGACTGTAGGCCTATTCATTTAAACTAGGACACAAACCAAAATAAACAACATAACCAGAACAAAAGCGATCCTAAAACAGTCTCAAGCAAATCCGGCCTGTAGGTAACTGAATGTTTTTTAGAAGTCAAATTTAAAGCACAATAATTATTCTAACTCCAGAAGAACTTTTGACATTGGCCCTGGTGAAATTCTTGAGTTGAGTTTAGAGCTGTGCTGAATATTAACAAGCCCACCGCTGTCACATCACCAGGACAACGGCTTTGACCTCTGACCTTGTTGCTACAGAGACGCAGACAGGGGCTGAAGGGAAATGGAGTTTGGATTAGAACCAAGGACTGCCACAAGAATAACATCATGGGAGTAAAGGGATCCACAGCTAAATTGGGACTAAATCTGTTCCAACTTGTGCCAACAAGGTCCAAGTCATATTTTAAACACTCTTTTAATTGGAGAAAACCAGGGGGGCTTCAGACATCAACTAAACCAGTAGGAAAACTGAACTAAAACAGCAGTAAACAGAGTAGAAGTCTAACACCTGTTCAGGATGACCTCACCTGAGAAAGAGAGAGTCGCCTGAGAAAGGTAGCCTAGATTTCCTTGAAAAATAGTACATATTTTATTCACATAGAACGTTCTTGTAAACAATGAGCGTTCTGAAAGACATTATGTCACAGTCTGGACCTGGTCTGGACCGTTCCAGGCCTGCAGGGTACTATTCATGCAAAGAACGTCTACTCTGAATTAGACTTTGCTTTATCTCACTCCCGGAATTAACTGAAAGCTGATAGAGTGGTCAGGATTGGCAGTCTGAATCCAGCTCCCATTGGTGTATGCTGTTGTTGTGTCCTTAGGCAAGACACTTAACCCACCTTGAGTCCCAGTGTCTGTGTAGGCTGGTGTATGAATGTCTGTATGAATGGATCAGTTTTGTCTAATTTCTGGTTTATTGTTGGGTTTTTTATAGTCTTATCCACGCTCTTTTGGAGCCTGGTTTAGTTTGGGCCCCAGTTCACTTTTTTCTCCTGGATCTCATGTTTTATGCCTGGCCTTGAGCCTGTCCTCTCTCTCTTCCCTCTCCTCGTCTCCTCTCCTAAACCCTCTGCTGGTGAATAAACCCAAACGCGATGTGAATGACAGTGAGCTGAGCACAAAGCGTCTCTGTTCTCGTCTCCACAGAAACTCAGTGCGCTTCGGCACACGGCTTTGTCCCTTGCTCCACAACCACTCAACAAAAACTCAGAAAAAATGCAGTTTTGTCCAGTGCAATCTCTGATGAGAGACTCAGAGAGAGAAAGAGAGAGAGAAAAAGAAAGAGAGAGACTCAGAGAGAGAGAGAAAGAGACAGGCAGAGACTTAACCTTTAGGGAAACTGAACCTTCTTTACTCCGCTGAAGTGATGGGAAAAATTGTTTTTATAGAGCAGAGCCTGGGAAGAGATAGGCCTAACTGTTTCAAAGAGATACCAACTGAAAAGATAATATGTTGACTGTTAACTAGTTCCACAAAACAAGCAGATGACACCACCAGGCCAAGTTACAGGTCAGATCTGTGGAGAGGCTATCCTAACTATAACTGAATAAATCACTAAATAAGTTTCATGCCATAATATGGAAAATTTCAAGCAATGCTATAAGTTACTGAGTTATAACTCCTGTTCTCTGGTCCCTTCACACTCTGCTCATTCAGTACAGGATCCTCTGTACTCTTCCTCCTCACGCACCAGTGCCTATGAACTGCCCCTGCCCACATCAGCGAGCTCCTCGCCCCACACACCACCTCAGGAGGCCTTCACTCCAACACCTCCTCTTACTGTCTCCACCAGCCCAAGACCAAGCTCTGCACAGTAGGACACAAAGCCTTCAGGCTGTCACTCTGCTGCTTTGGAGTGCCCTCCCTGAGGGCACCACAAAGAAATGTAAAGTGCATTATAAATAAAATGAAGTAAAAATCAGAGGTGCATTTCACTGTCTGAACAAACTCGGGCAAAATAACCCCCTCTGGCGGTTATAATGTGAATTACTTTGCATAAGCCTATGTTTTGTAAATAGACCTTTAGCGCCACCGCCTCGAGAGGCCAATAAGTCAAATAACACTCTTAAAACATTATTGTCATGACATTTAAAATATATTTACAATTATTTGTAAATATTATTATTATTTAACTCTGGTTTTACTGACGAGGCCATATTTTCAACTGTAGTGTAGTGAATTAATCCAGAAAATTTCCCTTAAATTTGCTAAATGCGAATCTGGGGAAACATTCTCATTTACGGGATATTTTATCCACAATTAAAGCGCAATTACCACATTTCCAATTATTTCCACTAGAGAGCAGTCTATCGACCTCATAGATTTCTCTCTTTTATGCGTTTCCTCTTCTTCCTTTACGAGCCCCACCCAAACCGGAAAAGGCCTTTTTTATTTCAACTAAATTTATTTTAATTAATTGGTTAACCAATTTCAACACAGCAGCGCTATACTGATCATTTGATAATTTAACATTCGGTTGATAAACATATATATTATGAAATTAGCTTGAACCAAATGTTTGTATATTGTTTATTTTATTCTGAAATAAGGATCCACACCGGAAGTGGTGTTTGCAGCATGTCGCGCTTGACCGAACTGAAGGCTAACAGCTAATAAACATCCTTGTATCATTTTGGTCCCGTTTATTGCTGAAAAAAGGCGTATTTTGTTGATTCCTTTGGGGTGTTCGAAGAAATACACTAACCAACACGACTCTCTTGGCGTCGGCAGTTCTTTCAGCGACTGTCAGCCTTGGGGAAGGTCAAAATTGTGACGTTTTTTTTAGAGAAGTGAACGAGGCGACGGAGACATTGCAGCCGCAGTTAGCATTGGGAGCTAGGCGAAAACAAAGATGATCGCGTTGATTAACAGGCTTCTGGACTGGTTCAAGGCGCTTTTCTGGAAGGAAGAGATGGAGCTGACGCTGGTGGGGCTGCAGTACTCGGGGAAGACCACCTTTGTGAACGTGATCGCGGTGCGTGGGGGTCCGTGTGCGGGCAGAGGCAGGGCAGATGCGCCGCCGCAGCTGGAGCCTCTTTGTGTTTCTCATGGAGCCTGGGTTGACCTCGGCTCGGGACCTGTCACGGGTTTAGACACTGAACAGCTCATTAAAATATTATCAGATAGGATATGTGTGTAAACGTGGATGTATTTTGTTGAAACATTGACTCGTAAAATGTAGTTTTAAAGAGAAGACTCCAGTCTGGTTTCGTCCTGGACTAGTACCAATAAATCAAGGCTTGGACCGAGCTATCCCCATTTATAATTTTTTTTCCATTTAACCCTTTGCTTTGGTATCACATCATTTTATAATATGAATCACTGTAATGTAATATTGTAGTACCAAAGCTGTCAATGAAGTGAAATGAAGTCAGATTTATAGCTGGACATCCATATACAATCCAATAATTCCAAGGCAAGGCCTAGAATAAAATCAGCTTTTAGAAATGAATTACTTTACTATTATTAAAATTTGCCAACCTATTATATCCCTACTGTTTTTTTTTATTATTGCACTGTGTATTTCTCTGCAATAACAAACATTTTTATGATTTTTTTTGAAATATGTTTTCCAGTCTGGCCAGTTTAGTGAAGACATGATCCCCACAGTTGGCTTCAACATGCGGAAGATCACCAAAGGAAACGTCACCATCAAGGTTCACATTATCTCAGTTGCATCTAAATATTTTGACTGTGCCCTAGTTACAGATAACATATGTCTGACTACAAGGACACTTTGAGTTGTAATGTTATAATCACTCTGGTATGCAGTGGCTGAATTCATACAGTGCCCTCCAGGTTTATTTGTTCACTTATTAGAATCTCCATTAGCTGTACCAGAGAGCCAGCTAGTCATCCTGGGGTCTCTTTAAATTGTCCCTTTGTGTTTTAGTTGTGGGATATCGGAGGCCAGCCCAGGTTCAGATCCATGTGGGAGAGATACTGCCGAGGAGTCAGCGCCATTGTGTGAGTGTTTTATAATCAATGTATCATTTTTTCCGCTGTCATATGTAACTGTCAATGACATAACCCTTTTTCCAAGTTCATAATTTTTTATTTATTTATTCGTAATAATTTAAAACTGATCTATATTACAGATACATGGTGGATGCTGCAGACCCAGAAAAGATTGAAGCATCAAAAAATGAACTCCACAACCTCCTGGACAAACCACAGTTGCAGGGAATACCAGTAAGTTTCTATCAAGAAAATAAATACAATATTCATACAACATCTTCTTTATGTCCAAATAGTCTTAATCACACATCTAACTTCCTTCACAAACATCTAACCACAGCCCGAATCATGAGTCATGAAAACAGAATAGAAACTTCTGTAACTCTACTCTGTTAAGAGATTGTGCCCAAACATTCACAGCTTCAAGAAATTATAAAGAGCTTTTACTTTTGTGGTATAAGGGTGAGTGACAGCACTGGGTGATGTAAGTAAAACAAAACAAACAAAACATAATACAGTACAAGACAAAAAAAAGACAAACATTTTTAAAAAATGTTTATGTCTATAACACATTTAATTTGTACAGTGTGTAATTTTGCTCTCTGTAAATATTTGTAAAGTCTCAGTGATCGATGTGCATAAGTAACCACATCATTTTTTTAAAACTATGTAATCAAAGGGTGTAGGGTAATATAAGTTTTCTTCTTCTCACTCCCATTTGCTTTTCTGTTGTTTCCAATATATATCTATGTATATGATTATTTTTTTTCTCTCTTGGCACAAACTTGAAATAAAAACAAATCAATAAATTTGAGGACTTTGTCTTTTTCAGGTGTTGGTTCTGGGGAATAAGAGGGACTTACCGGGAGCCCTGGATGAGAAGGAGCTCATCGAGAGGATGTAAGATCTCATAAACAAACTTACTTCATAATCTAAAGTTCCATAGGTGTCCACCAGGGGGCTAACAACCCAATCTATCCCACAGGAACCTGTCTGCGATCCAGGACAGAGAGATCTGCTGCTACTCCATCTCATGCAAAGAGAAAGACAACATTGGTAGGAGACACTACCACCATACATTAACACGCTGTATATTAAAGATGAAATCATATAACTGCCCTAATAATATTCTTAATATTTTTTATGGAACCTGTCAGACAAGGGCATAGGTTTGGTTTCGGCTTTGGTGGGGACATTATTAGCTAATTATCAGTTCAGCCACTAACAGGGCACGAGTAGGACTCCGTTTGAGAGGTGCTCTTGTGGCAATAGTCGCTCTTTTTCTGCGGCGACCCATGATAAGGCAAGTTTAATTGAAGGTGAAGCCAAGTTGAAAAATTTTACAAAAGTTGGTGCGCAGCGTCTTCACTCACGCCTGCTAAAGCTGCCATCTTCAGGTGCGGCCCTGTCCTATCGCTTCCCCAGTTCAGGCTCCTGGCACCACTAATGACATCACTCTGTCACAGCCAATGAAATAGCAGCAGGGGTAACCCTGTCGTCATATCACTGAATACATCTCAGAACGTCTAATAAACAAAATGTTAACTGAAACATGTTCAGTTAATACTATTGAGTTTGGAAAAATATTGGAATAAATTTATATTTTTGTTTATTAAAATAAAATGGCAAATATTGGTAGAGACTATTTTGTCTTGCCCAAATATTGGTTGTGACATGTCCCTACTGTCCCTGCGCAAACCTACAGCTGTCAGAGCCATAGACTGTATATATTAAGGGACATAGCTAACCCATCAGCTGTGCATTCCACATAGTAAGTTAGCATGGGGGTGTTTCTGGTTCCATTGACTCTGGCTCCAATTGTTGGAGACATTCCTCAGCCGTCAATAAATTTCACAGCTCAGTAGCAGCTTGGGTGAGCTGCGAAATGTACTCCGTAAATAAATTCCTGTTCCTAATATGGAACTCGTTTCCAAATTCACTCCTATATCTGCTGGCATCGTGAGCTTCATTCGACTGGAGCCAAAAGCTATGGCTGATGTCACACTCCCTTAGTCCACTTTTTTTGCATGTTCTCTGTGCAAAATAATAGAGCTAAGATCCTGGCTCAGATCTGTAGATGGACATAGCTTCTCCCAGCAGCGTTAGGAGGTGGGCGTCAAATGCTTTGGTATTTGTTTTTAATGTTTTTAACCTCAAATGGCACCTGCACTAACGGGGAACTGTTGCCTGGGAAACAGAATACACACTTCGGTAATACTTTGGATAATCTTCCTGAGTTCAGATGGGCGTGATTGATAGGTGGATTAGCCAATCAGGGACATGAGTGGTTTGTCTGTATCATAACAAATATGGCTGTTTATGAGGAAAAAAGAACTAACAGGAGATAGAAAAACATCATGGATTTCTGTAGAATCAATGAACCTGTCTCGAGGCGATTGGGAAAAAAAGTTTTATTTTTAGAGCAAAACTGTCCAGCTCTATATTTATTATCTATAAGTGTGTGACAGCTTCTCTCTGCCCTCAGACATCACCCTGCAGTGGCTGATCCAACACTCCAGGACCAAGAGGACTTCATGAGACTCCCTCCTCCCTCCTCTCTAAACGTGCCCTCCATTATTAGTGTCATCCTCCATCATGTGCCGTAACTCTTGGCAACCCTATGAATTCTAATGAGCTAAACTTATTGATTAAGTATTCTCCGGCGATTTGTACTTGTTTTTACTGAAATGAAATAGTCCAACTGCTTTTTAACATTTGAGCAAAAGGAGTTTTAAGTGATCTAGGCCCCCAAAACCTCCATGAATCACTACTGGACAACTGCAGAGGTTAGTTGGGTCTAAAATTATTCAGATCATGGAAGCTTTTAACACAAGGACAGTAATAATGGAGGGCATTGAACCGTCTCCTCATTCCTCCTTTCCTCGTCTCCTACCTTCTCTTTTTTTTTTTTCTTTTCTTTTCCTTAAGGTGCACTGTGTAACTTTTCTGGTGGAGGGTCCGTCATCCACTTGTCTCCATGGTGATGCTATTGCTTCACCGGGATGTTCCAAACAAATGTATTTCTTCAATTACAGGTGTTTTTATTTCTCAAAACTACCACAAAAAAATGTATTATTTCTGTGAGCGAGTCCAGTTTTCCACAGATCTGGCCTGTAACTTGGCCTGGTGATAGATCCTGCTCGTCTCCATGTAGATTAAAGATTAAATGCCATACAGTAGAGAAAAAAGCAAACAAATGGAGTTGAACAGGTGGCTGCGAATAGCCAGGCTGGCACCACCTAGTGTCTCTGCTCAATTTCATTTCTCTCCAGCAACTAGGTCAGGAATTGGAATACACTAGACGATTTGCAAAAGTTGGAGTTCAGGCACCAGCCAATCAGCGAAGAGCCATACATTCTGTGTTGGCAACGATTCCCAAGGTCGAGGATTTAAAGCCGGCACAAAGAGAATGTTTGGTGGATTTTATCAAGGGGAAAGACGTTATTGCCCTTCTTCCTACGGGATTTGGGAAAAAGTTAATATACTACTTAGCCCTGTTAGTGGCGCATTGCAAACGTCACGACCGAATAGCAGCGATTGATTAAAAAAAATAAAAAATGTACCCGCCTACCGTCGAGCGAACAAATCCTAATGCTGCGAGGTCAGACGGTTTCCACGAAGTGAAACCGGCTGATGAATCAAGCTAGGCTGCGAACCCTCTGCTAGAAAAGTTACACAGTGCAGCTTTAACCTTTGTCTCCTGCACTCACTGCTATATTTGGCAGAATTATCAGTATTTAGTGATATAAACTGAATTGAAACAGGTCAAATTTCTTCCCTTTGCAGCAGATCTTTTCTCTAACATGGCACTCTTATTTTTTGCGATCAGACGTTAGAAAATGTTCACAACCAAATTAAAAGTGGTTATTTCCATTCCTTCTCTCTGATTGGCTGTTTACTCAAAGCAGTGTCCGTGCAGATTTACCCCTCACTTCTCTTACCTCTTCTCATGGATGTCTCCTTTTTATTGCACTGTTTTGTTTTTGTAAAATATTAATGATCAAATCCTAATAATGTTAATAAGAAGAATACAAAAACAGTGTCCAGGCTTCATCCTGATTGACACAGCGCCCCCTACAGTGCAGATCTGTTGAACTGCAGGGGGCACTGTTTGAAGAGATGTAGCTTTGTTTTAATATTTTTTTGTTGGTTAAGAAACTCATTTTTCTATGATTTGTAATTTTTGTACATTCTGTTTATTTTCTTTTTTGTTTTTCGCGAAGTTGGCGCTCGTCCTTCTCAACTTCCATCTCTTTCGGCCTGTTGCTCGTGATCTGTTTATTCTTCCTTCCTCTGTCTGATCTCAGTTTTATTCAAGTGCACAATAATGAGACTGGTGATAATAATAGAAGGTGGGAAGGACGCGCTCTGATTAAAGTGTTTTTATTTAAATATTTTGCTTTGTGTCAAAAAATAAAACTGAACTGGATTAAAATGTAAATGTCTTTCTTGTAGTAACTTGACTCTTCACGACACAAGTGAGTACATATTTATACAATAACGATATCCAAATCTCTCGATATGATATACATCTCACGGTACGATATTTATTGCGGTATTTTGCAGAAGCTGACAAAATTCTGAATATGCTACTTTTCTGTAATAATACAAATAATTAAGATTTAAACATGCTTAATAACAGTTGTTTTATCATGTAGATGGGGCTAAAACAGAGCAAAGGATCATGGTCTATGTAGTTCTGTCTGTTTTTAAACTGTTGCTGCACCATAACAATAAGAAACTTGTAATTCAGTATATGGTCCACGATATTATTGTGAGACTTTCGACAATACAGTATCACGATATTTCGGTTATTGTTACAGCCCTAATTTATACCATATCATACCAACTTTATTTCTAAAGCAATTTAAAAACTTTAAAAACAGCTGGCCAAAGTGCTGTACACAAACACAGGACAGACTAGGACAATCGCAGTACAAGACAATACACAATACAAACACAATATAACACCTAAAAATATTGAAAACCATAAGATACTCAAACAACAAGAAATGTGCATGTCACTTGTTAAAAGAAAGTGAAAAAAAGGTGCATTTTTAGGAGTGATTTAAAAACAGATATAGACTCCGCCTGTCTAAAATACACCATACAGTAGACCAGATCTGGGGCATTGTACAGCTTCCGGGCCACATACAGTCCCCTTGTTTGTACAAAATAAACATATTTTATAATTTTACTTCATGCCTGAAGTAAAGCTGCACTATTTTTATTGTAGGGGTGTTTTTTTTAAATACAATTTTTTGTAAGGCAAACTCACTTTTTCTTTGCTTAATCATAACATATACTGTACTCTTAAAAAACAATGATATTTACTGCTTTTTTATAAAGAAATACAATTAATATCATGCAGAATTGAGTTACGCATTTTGGTCCTGCCCTCGACAATGTTTTCTGTTTCTCATGTCGCCCCTTGGAAAAAATAATTGCCCACCCCTGACATACACAGTATAAATAAGTATAGACTGTATACAGTCTATGATTTATACATATATTAACGGGGATGTAGCACTATCACTGTAAAATATCATGTTATTTTACTGTGATATGGAGGGAAGGCTCACGACAGTATTGTGGAAATGAAACTTTTTCTTTCAAAAGTCCAGTCTTTAGTGCAATGATTACATTTGTATTGTAAAGGACAAATATTTAAAATGTACTTAAAATTATGACTGAATACTTACAAGGACAAAGTTCAATGTGTTTTTTTGTTTTGTTTTTGAGTGTTATAGGCAAAGGAGCTTGCAATTCTTTGCCAGCCACACACCCACTTCCATACTTGATCATAAATACTTTTTAAGATTGTCATATTTTTTATATTTATTGTGCTCCAAACTGTAGAGGCCCTTCATGGGGATAGTTTTAAGTGTTTCTGAGTTATGTTTTTATGTTTTAGAGGGAAGTGGCCAATTCATGCTGCTGATTATGTGTCAGATCTGATTGGTGAAGAGGCTGCAGGTATATGGTGGGCGGAGCCATGTGTAGGGGGCGTGGCTTTACATTCAGACCACACCCATCACATCTGAGCATCAGGATCCTAACATCCTAGAGAGAGTAAATGTCTAGTAAACACACAACAGCAGAAGGGTGGTGTGTAGGGGCTGCACATAGACCAGCATATGCATAGTTTATTTCAGTTTAACCACTCATCAGTTTCTCAGTTTTTGTGACGATGGTGATTCAGTGCGACTGCAGCCTGGACCGCTTCAAACAGGAGCTGACCAACTTGTGTGATCCAAAGTGTCAAAGGGCCATTGTCTATGCGGTAATATTCCTCATAGTTCTCGTCCATCTCTTCTTTACAGGTAATTATAGAACAATACATGATTTTGTGATGTTGAAGTAGAATTTTTGTAGAAAAAATATAAAAAATTGTTAAAAATGTGTTTGGTTCATCACTCAAATCACCAATTTTCCTATAGGCTATTTAATGTTTTGCTTTTTTAGTGAGTTTACATTTCAATTGACAGCAACACCTACAGGGTAAAGGTGCACTGCGTAACTTTTCAGGTTGAGGATTAGCTGGGTTTCATTAAAAAGTTGCCGATACAATACATACTTCGATACATAGTCCACAATACAATACATATCTTGACACGGTGCACATTTGGTTCGATACGATATATTTCAAATTGATTAAATACGGTTCAATAAAAAATTACCAAATAATGGATGTGATACTAAAAGTCTTTGTTAAATCACTTTTTGTGCAAAATTCATATGAAACACAAATATTTTAATCATCAAAATAGTGAAAATGTCAAATTTGTGGCATAAACAAGTTTCCTTTTAACTAAACTAACAACAAAACTTTAACACTGTAAGAAAATAATTTTGTGAAATATAGCAAAAAAATACTCTTGGCAATATATCGATACAGCAGCCCACGATACTGATACTGTATCATCACATTAAACTATACAATATATTGATATTTTGATACTTTTGTACAGCCCTATTGAGGATCCACCACCATGGAGATGCGTTTGTTTTGCTCGTAATGCTCCACAACAGGGCATTAAACTGATATAAGATGCGTTTATTAAATTATGGGTGTCTTTATTGCTCAAAAATACCTTTAAAGCATGCATTTTTACAGATCTGACTTGTAAATTGGTTTGCTTGTTTCTATGGAGATTGGAGATGGTAAAAGACAAGGGAAATAATGCATACACAGAAGTATGTATCTATGTTAATTGTCGGATTTTTTTGTTGTTATTGTTGTTCTCTTTAAATTGATACCAACAAAATAATAGCATGAGTAATAAAAAAAAAAAAAAAAAAAAAAAAAAAAAGATTGAAAAGTTTAATGTCATATTTTGGAACACTGCACACTAAAAAGCAATGACATCTCCTCTGTCCTCTACCAGAAAAATGACACAGTGCATCTTAAAGCATTTTTAGATATCAAACTTGATGAGGAACAATTATTCTTGCAGGTTTAATGAATTTATAAACAAATAATTGTAATCTTACCTCTGTCTTCTCTTTGTCGAAGGTTTCACCTGTTCTTGCGATCCTCAAACCCAAACCGTAGCCTGCCACGTGTATCTGATCTTACCCATGTTTATAATCATGCTGCTTCTCCTGAGGCTGGACCGGACCTTCCACAGAGCGCTCTGCAGGTCGGCAGCGTCTGTGTCCTAAGAAAATATAGGATTTAGATGTAAATAAGATAAGATCAACTTTATTGTCCCAGCAGAGGAAATTTGTCCCAGGCGTGAAGTACAAGGTGCATAGACCTCAAACAGACGAACACAGAGCAGATGACAGGAGAAAAATAACAGAAAATAATACAGTAACTCGTAAAAATCAGTGCAGTAAATAAGATTCTTAAGTTCATAATCAGAGAAAGATTTTTAAAAAGTAAAGCGGTGACAGAAGGTAGCAAAGTAAAACTAGAAAAGTACTGTACTTAAGTGGATTTTTTTGGTATCTGTACTTTTTTACTTTTACTTCACTACATTTGTGAGCATGTATCTGTACTTTCTACTCTGGACTGGACTGAAAAGTAAGAGGGTTTATTATTGTTTGAGACCTGCTGAAAAGCCTGAGGGTTTATTTTAACATAATCTGAGCAAACAAATAGAAACAGGACAAAAACAAACAGTTGCTTTAATTGTTTCTGTTGAACAAAAGTTGACTGAAATCTTTCTCAAAATCACTACATTTGAAGCTTTATTGGATCTCAAAATATGTGCAAAATACTTTTACTTAAGTTGATTTTTTTCATGTTATACTTTTACTTGAGTTTTTTTAATGCTCCAGTGTCTGTTCTTCTTCTTCTGGCACTAATGGACTAACTTATGTCCATAACATGGTTGTTTTAAATCCAAAAAGGCAGTTTAAAACAAACATTTCCGCCAAATGTTTTAATACCTTCGTGGTTTATTAAGTTTTGTAGCTGATTATCCCTGAGCAAGCTTTCAAAAATGATGCACTTTTTGGAAAGTCTATGAGAAAAATTTATGGGAAATTTAGTTCTGAAACCATAGTCGGGCAGTCACTGTTGAACTCCACTGACAGACAGGCATAAGTAATAATTTATCTTTTATCTGGTAGCATTATATAGACATTTTTCACAACAGCTGGAAGTGCCGCGATGTAGAGTAAACATCACGTACGTCACTGCTTTTCTACGGTAAAATATCTGTGGAAATGTCTCACGTAATTTCCTCCAGCTTCACAATTCTGCCCCATCACCAAATCTCCATCCAACAAGATCGACAAAGGATAAACATTCTACGATGAAGAATTTTTCCACAACTATCAAAGTAAGAAAGACGAAAACGTAAAAGTGAACAACGACGAGCAATAGTAAACTACTCCTGAGCAAAACTAACATTATGGTCAAGAATAAAACATAAGTAAGTTGTTAACTCAGACTGATTCTACAATTAAAATTTAAAATCGATATCATGATGTCGATATTAGCATAGACAGAGAGATTTGTGCAGTTTGAATGCTACAGATGTTTACAGATTACATGCCTGAGTTCACAAGTTACTTATTCTTCATGGACAGAATACATCCTTCGTCGACCTTGTTGGATGAAGATTTGGCAATGAGGCAGATTTGTGAAGCTGGTGGAAAATATGCCAGACATTTTCAGAGATATTTTGCCAAAGAAAAGCAGTGATGTACGCGATGTTTACCTTACATCGCGGCACTTCAGGCTGTTGTGAAAAATGTCTATTTGGAAATGTGCACTGACACACAGGTAGCTAATAGTAGGAGTAATTATGCATTTTTGCTCCAACAAATGTGAAATACTATTCCGCTCAATAAGTCAAGTTTAAATTTCTAGATACTTGCCCCTTTTTTTTTTTTTTTTGAGGTGGTTACTATAATCACTGGTTCAGACTTTGCTCATGACACCTACAATAAATATGTGGTTTGGAAAAGTAAATTTGTTCTCTGTCC